GGGTTCAAGCTCACCAGCAACCCCTCAGAAACCCTATACAGGGTTGCTGTGAGTCAGAACCAACTAGATAGCACTTAACAATAACAACAACATTATGATTTACGTGATAATTAGAAATTAGGATTATTCCATTCTAGGATTTATGCAGGAGAACAGAAAATTGAAATGGCCTCATAGCAAGTTTATAGAACATTTTATTAATTTTCCCACATTTATATGTAATATATCACTTGTACATAGATGTAGTGCTTTATAGCGGTATGCATGCCTCTGATAAGGTACACTACCATTAATCATCTTTTAGTAACTAAGAACAGTAAACCACAAAATCCATATCTGTCTCTTGCGTTTAGTTGGACCAATATTTGCAAAAGTGCACTTCATGAAAAACAAATAGAAATACAAAATAAAGTTGTTTCACATAAAGAGTGTTGTTGTTGTTTTTAAGTGCCATTGAGTCAGTTCCGATTCATAATGACCCTGTATAACGACCAGTCACCAAGGAGTAACTGGTGAGCTTGAACCACTGACCCTGGGGTTCAAACTGGCCTTGCATTACAACGCATTAACCTGCAGCACCATACCAGAAGTGGTTCATGGCAAACAAAGTTGACAAAACCTGAATTAAACAAACTTATTCTTGTGTGTGTGCTACAGATCTTCTTAAAGTGTGTAATATGCAAATGAACACTGGGATTCTTCAATATTTTCTAAATGTATTGGTCCACAGAATATTTGTCCACTGACCATATTAAGGAAATCACTGAAGTACTTGGAAACTAGGCTGGATTCTCAGACTCTATAAAATGCTCAACTATAGAAAATAATCTAACATTTAAACTGTAATTATTTGCAATGTCTGAGGATATAAAAGAAATAAAATTTGTTTTTTAAAAGAAAATATTGGTAAAGATAAACTAAAGTTAAGAAAAGGAAAAATCTCTCACACAATTTCACTGTACATACATAAGGACTATTAACATTTTCATATATTTCTACTAAATTTTCCCTAACATTAAATTTCTAAAAACCACAAAATATTACTTACCAAACTTAACAAGTTATTACAAAAACTTGACATAAAAAGAAAAAAAATATTTGTTGACAATT